GGGCTGTATGACAACATCACTATTAAGGGCCGATAATCAGCATTTTGCCCGTTGCAGTAATGAACTGTAGTCTCTGGTGTTGACGACATGGAACTCTTTCAGAACTGATGATCACTGCTTAAGCGAACCTTTCGGTTCATGTATTGTCATCTACCTAAATGGTTATGGGGTGATAATACATCTCCTTTGAAGATGTATACGGCGGCCGCAAGGACACTGTGGAAAGTAGCGATTGTTGTTAACCTCCTCATTTAGCCTAACAGCCCCTTTTACGGCTATGTCGATAATTAGGGTAATTCACGGATTTCGGCGTTAGTTGTCTTTCTGTAGAAATTGTTACAAATAAATGAAACTATACCAATGAATTATTCTTGTCTATTCAAGTGGAAGGTGACCCTGCTGCATATCACATATTCTTCGTGTTCATATGATGTCCTGATCCATTCAAGCGCTTTTTTCTGGTGCTGATCACATCACCAGAAACATAATATTACGTGAAGTGATATGATCTTTTTCTATAGTTTTTTTGACAGATAAATCAAATATATGCAGCTAATTATCAACAGAGCCTGAATTGAAGGTATGCTGTTAAATCATCTGTGAAGATCGCTGATTCGTTAAACGGATTGATCTTTTTTATTAATGACTTAGTTGTTGCTCTGTTCGTCTGTTAAGGAGCATATTTTCTTTCGCGTGATGATCGCCAAATGACTAGAGCTTATGGCTATTGCTTCAGCAAGGTTGCCACATTTTCAGATTGGTTGATAGGATTTCACTGCTGTGGAAACAAAACATGCTTAATGATTATAGATGCGAATACTAGAACGAAGTTAAGGCTAGAATATTTTACATGTCGGTGTTTCGTCTAAACAGTTTTGGCCATCTTCAGGGCACAGACATGTAGATTGGCGTCGATGTTAAAGCAAAACACTGCTACTTCGTGTCACCAGGGCAAACGCAATCTCCAGTGATAGCCGCTGTTTGTCCTTGCTTCTGGTTTTCGCTGAATTACCAGCCTGTTATATAATGTTAGATGCTGAAAAAATTGACTGATTAAATCGTAACGAAAAATATCGTTCGCTCAGAGTGATTATGACAAAAATATACAAGTTTAGTGAAGGTGTCCATATCTGCATCCAAATGCCAGACTTGATTATTCAGACTGAATGAGGAATGTTGTATTATCTTCGGTTCTAAGGTGTTTGCTGAATAGTTGGTTCCTAGAAGTCTTTATGGATCTGTTAAAAGTAGTATCTAAGCGGTAAAACTTGGAAATTTACTTATTCATTGGTCATCATCGGTTCCTCCATCCATCTTGTCACAGAATCGTCTTTCCCGGTTCTAATATAGGCGTACCACAAAAAAGTACCTTCTGTTTTTTTCCAGAGGATTAATGCGGTTGATGGCCTTTGCAGTTCTTCCGTTACGGCAATAAAACAAAGTCATTGATCACCAGTACTCTCGTGTGTTTTTACTCGTCGAATTCCAGCAGCTCATTTCGGTCGTACCAGCTGAATGCCGAAAACAAACGCCCTGATCAGCACAAATTTTCGAAGTTTCAAACGAATAAGTGTTTGGCACTTAATATCGATGTGATCGTATTGTTTGTTTCCTATGGCGCGTCCGCTATTGCCCGATCTCGTTCTGTGACGTCACCAGTGGCTTCATCCTCTCCATTCATATATATTTAGGCATAGAGAAAATGGTCGATACCGAGGTGTACGGAATCGACACTAATTGTGTGACGCTGGCGCGGTTCATCCTGACCCAGCAGAAGAAAATACCGATGGCGACTGGCGAGTTTACGACTTTGACGAATTCGATTCTGACGGCCGTCAAAGGAATATCATCGGCCGTTCGGAAAGCGGGAATGACTCATTTGTGAGTG